GTCTTTGCAAGTTGAGCCCAGCACGCCGGGATCCAGCTTCACCCCCTGCCCGGCCCTGGGTCACTGCACTCCTGCAGGCAGCCCCCACCCGCCCCTGTAGGACCCTCCTCTCAGTTCTGCTCAGGACTCCAGTTCCACGCCCTCTGGACGCCTTCCAGAAACTGCAGAGTAGATTAGGTGCCCCGCCCAGGACCTCCTAAAGCCTGAGGGGCAGAGCCTCTCCCAAACTGGTACCTGGCTGTTCACTGCCTCCTCGAGGCTCCACTTGGAGGCTGAACTCTTGGGGCCTGTGGCTTGTTCAGCCCTGGACTCTGCAGACTCTCAGGTGGAATCGCCGGCTGGAGAGGCCCCGAGTGAATTCCGACCCCGCTGGTGCTGGCAGCAGGCCCCTTAGAGCTGAAACTGGCCTGGAGCGATGGGCCCTAGTGAGGACCCCTCATGGAGAGGGGGCTGCTCACTGGGCCCCCCTCTCCACCTCATCCCACAGCTGCCGCTGTCCAGCAGCCACCTGAATGTGTACAGTGGTGACCCTCAGGTCACAGCCTCCCTGGTGGGTGTCACCAGCAGCTCCTGCCCAGCTGACCTGACCCAGAAGCGTGAGCTTACAGGTACCTCCTCCCTGCCTCCCTATGTCCTGGCCTCCACCTCTCCCTCCTCTCCCTCCCTCCCAGCTCCTCCCTGCTTCTCTCCTGGCCTCCAGATGCTGAGAGCCGGGCCCTGGCCAAGGAGCGGCAGAAGAAGGACAATCACAACCTAAGTGAGTCCTCCCCACCAGCCCCCTCCCCTGCCTCCCTCTCCTCCCCAAGGCCTTTGGTGGGACTGGGCCAACTGAGACTGCCTGGCTCTGGAAGGGGCGCGAGAGGGGCTCCCGGGGAGAGATATTCCTGAAATCCCAGCACCTCAGAGTGAATGAGTTTACAGATTGTTTTCTTTTGGGCGTGGAACCTGGGGACTGCTGGGCAGTGGGGGTGTCCTGCTGGCAGCCCTCCCTCGCAGAGCCCCTTGATGCCTGGCTGCGCCCATCCCCCCATCCCGTAGAGATCCCCCTCCTTGGGACGCCCATTACTTCCCAGAAGGCTAAGGCACCCTCCCTCGGTGGGCCCTTCTCCCAGGTGGGGTTCATGCCTCTGATGGCTCCCTCCTGCATGTGTTCCCTTTAGTTGAAAGGAGACGGAGGTTCAACATTAACGACCGCATCAAGGAGTTGGGAATGCTGATCCCCAAGGCCAACGACCTGTGAGCGGGTTTCTGGGGGAAGGATAGGGGCTGGGACAAACAGCCCCATGCTGGTTGCCAGGGGGAAGGGCGGGAAGAGAATCCCTTGATTGCTGCCTTCTAAGAGCTTATCAGCTGTTTGGGAAAAGGTCCCTCCTTCACTCCAATCGGGAAACTCCAGGCAGATGAGCAGCTGTTCTGGAGTGAGGCTGGGCCAGGGGGGCTTCCTGGAGGAGGAACATGTGGGAAAGTTCGTTGAGGACATTGGACTGGTGCAGAGGGGGCTGGGGTAGGAGCACGAGGGTCAAGGACGGGTATGGGTTTGGGTGGCAGAAATGGAAGGCCTGGGGAAGGAGGCTGTTCTGAATCGCTGGGTTCTACGGGATTAGGGAGGTGGGTGTGGCAATGAAGTCCCTGGGAGGCCTGCTCCCTGTGTAGGGAGATCAGCCTCAGCCACAGGTAGGGGTTGGCTGGGTCTGGGGTTCCTGGGCAAAGCTGGGACAGGTGGCATCGGCTTCTGAAACCAAAGCAGGGTTTCTGTTCCACCCGCGGAGTGCATGGCAAATCCTTGGCCGCCCTGAGCACACACCTCTGCTTCTGCTGCCCTGCAGGGACGTGCGCTGGAACAAGGGCACCATCCTCAAGGCCTCTGTTGATTACATCCGGAGGATGCAGAAGGACCTGCAGAAGTCCCGGGAGCTTGAGAACCACTCTCGGCGCCTAGAGATGACCAATAAGCAGCTATGGCTGCGAATCCAGGTCTGGCCCCTGCACTTGGACCTCTTGGGAAGCTCTGACTCCTGACCCCTGGCCTGGCTCTTGACCTCAGGGGCAGTGTTTACTGAAGTCATGGGAATGATGCCATGAGAAGGGAAGATGTATTAGTCAGGATGTTATGGTTTGGTAACAAACATTCTCAGCAACTTTAAGCAGCAAATATCAGCTGGAGGTCCTGTTCTGTGAGACCTTCATTCTGGGACCCAGGGCCATGGACAGGTACATCTAAAGCTGGCTCTTAAAGCCATAGTTACTCTTCAGGTGGCACTCGTCACAGTTTCGCTTACAGTTAATTGATCAATACAAGTGCATGTCCACACCTAACCTCAAGGGGGCAGGAAAGAGCAAACCTACCATGTGTGGAAGGCAGAGAGTTGAAACCATTTGGTGTTAGTGCTAAGGATCACCATAGAGGCCAACGAAAGAAGCAAGGCTTGGGAGTCACCTGGAGCCACGGGGTCTAGTCTAGTCCTGGCTAGAGGACCTCTGTCCTCTTTGGACCTGAGGCTGGTCATCTATATAAAGGGCAATCGGACTGAAGCTTTTAAACTTTACTGTTTCTATATTTTTTCTATTTCTCACAGTAGATAACTGTAATTTGCATGACAATACAGCACACATAGCCACACTCAAAGTGAAAGATCAAAGTGTCATCAAAGAGCCCTCTCCTTAATAGATGCAATGCATTCTGGTAATTTCTAGTCTAGTCTAGTCTAGGCAAGTCTATTTCAATTAAGGAAAATAGAGGGAGAGCTGGTCAAGACTCACTAAGTTGTTTCAGAACCCACTAATGAGTTGTGACTTAGAGTTTGAAAAAGCCCAGGTCTAGACTCTAGACTAGAGCTGCCCTGTGCTGAGACAATTTATGGTCTTGGAGGCCACGGGAGAGGGGCAAGGGCTGGGGCAAGGGCTGGGGCAGGGGTTGGGGCAGCTGGTGTCCGTGGGTGTGTGCCCTTAGCCCTCTGTCTGCCCACAACACAGGAGCTGGAGATGCAGGCTCGAGTGCACGGCCTCCCCACCACCTCCCCGTCCGGCATGAACATGGCCGAGCTGGCCCAGCAGGTGGTAAAGCAGGAGCTGCCTAGCGAGGAGGGCCCGGGGGAGGCCCTGCTGATGGGGGCCGAGCTCCCTGACCCGGAGTCACTGCCGGCTCTGCCACCCCAGGCCCCGCTGCCCCCGCAGGCCCAGCCACCCCAGCCACCGTCCCCATTCCACCATCTGGACTTAAGCCACAGCCTGAGCTTCGGGAGTGGGGGCGACGAAGGGCCCCCCGGCTACCCTGAGCCGATGGGGCAAGAGCCCGGCTCCCTGTTCCCCAACCTGTCCAAGAAGGACCTGGACCTCATGCTCCTGGACAACTCCCTGCTGCCGCTGGCCTCCGACCCCCTCTTCTCCACCATGTCCCCCGAGGCCTCCAAGGCCAGCAGCCGCAGGAGCAGCTTCAGCATGGAAGAGGGCGATGTGCTGTGACCCTGGGACGGGCAGGCCTGGGGGCTGCGAGGGCAGGGCCGCCTCCCTCCCCCCTTCAGGCTGCACTTGTGTGTGAAGTAGCCACCTGCCCTGCCTCACTCCTCCCTTCGGCCCCTTGTTTGGACTTAGTGCCCGCTTGGCAGCCTGTGGGGTCGGGAGAAGCCCCGACCCGGCTCAGTACTCCCGGGGGCAGCCCTCTGATGGGCTGGGCAGGAGGAGGTCGTGAACCTGGCCCCAGGGGGTGTGCTGGAGGTGAGAGGAGGCCCTGGAGGGTCCTGTCTTCTGAGCCCGAGCTCCCACCCCACCAGTGAAGGACTCATTGGAGCAGGGGGTTCAGCAAGTTCCTTCTCTGAAGCGGTGACTGGTCCAGGGGGAGCCCCAGCCTGCTTTTCTGGGACTCAGATGGCAACAAGCCCGTCCTCCAGCCTGGCCGCCCCCCTCACACAGGTGGGGCGCCCCCAGCCCCCCTTTGGTGCTAACAGCTCTCCGCCAGGCGGTGTGAGGGCGGGGGTGGCCGGCAGAGGGTGCCGGGTTCAGGCTAGTGTGGGGTCTCTGCTGGAAGAGCAGCTCCCCTCCAGTCTCCCCACTTTGTGCCTTTAGTAAACACTGTGCTTTGTAACCGCTCGTCCTGTCTCATTGGAGTGGGTCTGGGCCTGAGGAGAACGGGAGGATTCAACCCAGGGGGCTCCTTTCTGGGCACCCAGTGCGGGTGAGGGCAGGGGGATACAGAGAGGAGGGGACAGGACTGCCCCCTGGTCCCCCAGCTCCCCAGCCCTGCCCAGGGAAAGCTAGCCTTCCTCCGGCCTGGCGCTGACGGGAGTCCCTCCTCGCGGCCACGAGGTGGCGCTGCAGCCACGCCAGCCTCACCAGAGCCGCTTGGCAGGGGGACGTGGGGGACTAGGTTGAGTCTACTGTTCCTAGCAGCTGTTTGGACACCCTTGGCCCAGGCTCCCCCGACCGGGGTAGGGGGCGCGTGTCTCCTGTTCCCCACCCCCACTCGTGGTGGCGACCTCTCGGATTCTTCCCCTCCCTGATGGGCTCGGCCTGGCTTGAGAAGCAGGCAGGCCAGCCCCTCTGCTCCCTGACTTAGTGTCTCTAGCAGCACCAGCTCCCTAGTAAGGAGGGCGGTGTCCTCTGGGTTTGGGGAACCAGGACCCACGTGAACTGGTTTGGAAGGAGCCAGGCACGCAGGACACTGGGTGGAGCCAAGGACAGGCTTCTACTGGCTCTGGCCAGATAGTTCTTCCCTCTGGGCGTCAGTCCCACCCCAAGTAGCTCCCAGGGCCTGGGGGTATGACCTCGCCCAGGATGGGGAAGTGGGTTTGGCGCTGAAAGGGGTGGAGTGGAAGCTTGAACCCCAGGTGTCCGGAGGGAGCGAGGGTCTTTGGGGGCTTTGCCTAGTTCTCCCTCCACTGCCCTGTGTCTTCACATAGAGATCAAAATGGATTTCCCCTCATGGGCCCCGGAGAGGCTGAAGGGGCCTAATTAAAAAAGTAAGAAAATCCCAGGATGAAATGGAGGGCAGCTTCCTCTGTGCAGAGAAGGAGATCAAATCCACGCTGAGCGATTAACGTGTGCGGGAAGGGGGCCGGGCGCCGGCGCTGATGGCACTGGGCTGCAGGATTCGTCTCAAGGTCAGAGGGAGCCGTGGATGACCTTGTGGAGTTAGAGCCAACCTGGGGAACTGGCACCTCCTTCCAGTTCCAGGCCCCACCCCACTGCCGGGGACCTGCCCAGGCGCTGGGAGCACCCCCAGTCCTTCCTGGGACAAGCCCTGGGTCCCAGCTGAGAGATGCCTGTGGGTCCAGGTGCGGCTGTTTGGGCACCAAGGGGGTGGGGGTCTGGGAACGCTGAAGGCCACTGGTTCTTCAGGTGGTTGAAGGAGAACCCCATTTGTTCTCCTTCATCCTGAGGGTTCTGAGGATCCCTTCAGCTCCCTCACACAGCCCCTCAAG